GCTCACTCCGTTTCTTCTTGCTCTCTTGCATCAGACTAACTAAGGTTCGAGTCAGCTCCAGTATTGCGTTTGGCTCACTTGATTTCGCGGGAGGTTCGGGGGGAGGCGCAGGTGGGGGAGGCGTAGGGGCGACCATCACGGCCAGCCCCGTGGTTGTGTCAGGTATTGTTCTCAGGTAAGTGACCGGGCTGGAGACAAAGGCCATGTTTTCAAATTTGTTTTGGAGCGCAGCTAATTCGGCCTTCACTCTGGCTAATTTTAAAGAGTCCCCTTCCTTGACGTGGTCCTCCCCTTCTAGGAAGCTAGCAACAAACTTTCTCTCCATCTCTTCTGCAGCGTCCATGATTTGCTGCATGGTGTGGTTGATGGGGGAGAACTGCTTTCGCAGCTTGGCCCTTATCGTTCGACTTCGGAGCCCATCGATAAACAAATCCCTCTCGACATTTTCGCCCCGTTCTGACTTGACAAACAACCAGCTGCAGTATTCAGCGTCGGATTCGAGGGTTTCTGGACTTCATCCTTAATCATGAAGAAAGCTTGCTCCAACCTCCAGGTGAATGTCGTCAAATCGGTTTAAGAAGTCCCTTTCGAAGGTCGGGAGATCAACCCATACCTAAGTGGTAAACCAGTGGTGCGCATCCTCTCTCAACCTGGCAGGGATGTTGATCCGAGCTTCGTCATTGTCGTATTGTTGTGCGCGTAGTGTGGCTAGCCATGCTCCAACCAGATGATGCGCATGATCAAAGAGGTACAGATCAGGCGGGGTCGTTGGCGCGCATGCTCGAGGGGCAGGGGCCCCACCCGCATTTGGTGCCAGATTGGCATTCATATTGGCGGCCTGCCGACCTGCCGATCTTCTTCGGGTTACTATAGGGTCGCGCCGTGGCGTGTTCCTCTGCCTAGGACCCTTTGGTTTTCATATAAATGGCATGGCAAGTGGTATGAAAATTAGGGTCTTCGTTAACCTTCCCTCCCTAGGACGCCCCCGGTTCGCCAGGTCGTCCCTTGTATCCTACCCGATTGCCAATCTCTGGGCCTGCCACGTGCCGGCTCCGATACCAACCTCACGCCCGACGCGACATCTTGATCGGAGCGTGAGTGGGCTTGGAAGTGCGAAAAGGGGTGTGCCAAGGATTTTTGGGAGAGTGGGGGTGGAGTTTTAGGTCGGAACAAAGATCTCTTGTGGCGAGTTTCAGAGATTGCGAAGATTAGGTGGATAGGTGTGGATCGGGTTTTAGGCTTCGGAAGACGGAGCTATCGTCTCCGTTGGGTCCGTCGCCTGGGTCGGTCGCATATTTGGTGGACCGCCGGAACGCTATGGCTATCTCGTTGGTTGACCACTTGTCGACGCCTAACGTCGCAGGTCTCGAAGTCGGACGAGGCCGGTCTCAACCGAAGGCTGTGTGCCCGTCGCTCCTCCTCCGAGCGAGTTCGCTGAATGAAGCCGGAAGCTCGGTACTCATGGTCCTGCTGGCACTCCGAGCATGGGGGTTGGGGTCAGTAGGGGGCGATGGCGAGCAAGGGCACAATGGTCCGGGAGTGATAGGGTAGGATGTGGTGATAGGGAGGGAACTCGGTCCCTATGATAATGATCTCGGGTTTCATGATGACGTGACACGTGTGTGGGTTAGAGTAGTTGGGGAGATAGGGAATACGTCCCAAGGCCCGATCGAGGTCCCACTTGCAGATTCGTTCCTTCCCCGTTAAATAAGGGAAGTTCGGGGGTGCCGCCCTGGGCCGTGCAGACAAGCGAGAGTGCTCCCAGTATTCCCGAAATTCCCGATCCCTCGAACACTCACGGTCAGTGATGTAAACGGGGGCATCAAAATTCATGCTACAAGTTAAGGTGGAACACCAAGCATTCAAGATTTAGCCGAGTTCAAGGTTCGCGGACGTGCGTGTAGGCATAGATCGTCTCCGACTGAGCCTATACGTGTATACACGAGCCTTGTCCTTCAGTTAGAGGGGCGAAAGCCAATGGCTCGCAAGGCAGATCATCCTATAGTGAGACAACCTTCCAATAGTCTAGCATGCCTATCCAATTCATGCACAAGCAGAATTACGCCTATCATCCATGCATCTAGTTTTGAATCGAGGTTTATGCAATACTTCCTTGCCCCATCAGTCCGAAATCCCGCAAGGTCCAATCGTCTGGGATCAATCAATTAGACCCATCAATCTAAGAGGACAGAGAAGGGGAGGGAAAAAAGACAACCATTCATCAACACCCGAGGAGAGTAAATGAAAGCATACACGTCAATAGAAAAAAGAAAATGACAAGTCCGAATGCCGATCAGAAAGGAAAAAGAGGGGCGACTCACGCCGAATACCAAAATTGCTGAGAAGGAAAGAAGAAGAAACAAAATGGCTTAGAGGGATAGAAGAAGAAGCTCATCGCACACTTCTCGCTTCTCTCTCTCTCTCTCTCTCTCTCTCTCTCTCTCTCTCTCTCTCTCTCTCTCTCTCTCTCTCTCTCTCTCT